TTAAGTCCTTGTGATTTAAAAAATATAACAATGTATATTTTTAGTACTCTATATACGTACGAACTTGTTAATTTAACCTGTCACTGAATGTGAAGCACTCGCAGCACTGTGAAAAAACTGTTCTTCCACATCACCAGAATGAATACAGCCAGTTTTATCTTTAACACCCACAAATCACACTTCACAATGCATTGCATTTACAAGTCTACAAATAAAACACGTGTAATTCAAATGAAAGCAGCTGTGTTTATGTAGCCAGCTGGAATGTGTTATTGCGTCGTATGAAAACTAATTTTTATTCTCAAACTGTTTTAGCTACCGTTCCTCCATACAAATGTGATCCTTGGTGTAAAGGTGCATATGGAAACTATATAAATCATGCAGATTTGCTGTTTAATTAATGTACAAATATTAACACATTTTAAATGGAAGAAGACATATTTACTCCAAAAATTACTGCACACTGCTTAGCATGCCATTATCTTGTATAATATTGTACTCTGTATATAATTCAATGAATTCAATACTTATTTGCTGAACGCCTTCAACCTGGTAAATCCTTAAAGCAGTCATTCTTTCTTTACATAATACATTGTGAGCAGGCAAAAAAAGGTTTACAATTATTTTAAACTTTTGTTTTGTCTTTCTCTTGCTATGGTGTTAATATCGGAGGCATTGGCCTGACTGTGGTGGGCAGCAAAATGAAACTCAGATGGCAATTACTTTTGTTTACTAAAGCCTTTGGAGAAATGGCTGCCCTCATGGGTCCTCCAATATGAGGCCGTACTCGTCAACCATCTATACAATTTCACAATCAGGCAAACTTTAAAATGCACTAAATCCATATCGCTAGTCATTCATAAGTTTCCATCTTATTCTGAGCCATTAGTCCCATTGCTGATCGTGTTGTATTTTTCCATTTGGTTATTTTTGTATCTCTTCTCTATCCTTACAGACTCGGACTCACATATAGAGACTCACCTACATACACGTACATGATATAGACCTACATAGAGACCCATAGGCGTATTAATATATGTAGTAATACAATTACAAAAAAAATCCCACGCCAATTTCCACTTTATTATATCAAGCTGAAAGCTATTTAGAAATAAACGATTAATATTTTTCTGCAAAAAATGGTACTTCAATTAAATCATCCTGTCCACCCAGTGGTATAATTGGGTTAGTCGTTCAACTGGGAAGGCGGCTGCTTGCGTTGTAGCCGAAACGTCGTGAGAATTGTTTTATTATGTTTTATTTTTATTATTTTATTACTTCCCTTCTACGTGACTTTACCGAAAGAACCAAGAAGAGGGTCATGTGTGGTGCAGCAAAGTGTGGGTACTGTCACCTCCTCAAGCCATCTGGCCATGGTGAAAGAGTAGGCCAAAATGCCCTTTAGGGGGGCTCTCTAGAGCGCCCTCTAGTGGAGACCCTTCCACCAGTGGTGGCGTAAGCACACAAGTGAAGGACTGCACCTTTACCTATAAGGAGAATGTGAAGCTTTGTTCCAATGTGGGAAGAAATTTGCATAATTAAGCTACAAAGGTACACTGCCGTGACAATAATGTTCGACTGTCCTTCGGATATTTGGAAGGAAAGAAACAAGGCTTCACCCATGAATCATAGCAGGAGAGGCCGAGTATCCACCATATTCTGTTGATGTTGGGGAGCGGGAGTGAGGGGGAGAAAGGCAATGAATCTTTTACGCTTGTCCACCCATCACACACAAAGCCCCTGTAAGATTGAGCAGTCTAGCTGACAAATGACCAGCCTTGTTTTCTTTTCTTGTTTTGTCTCTTTCTTTTTAGCGCACTTGAAGGTCCCCGTGCTGATAAATAGCTACTGTCATGAGCCTTAACAAAGACGTGACCCCCAGAGTGCCAGTTAAGAAGAGGAGCAAGATACTGTACACCGACGCATCATCGATGAAGTAACACCACGAGCTGTGGTCGTTACTGTCGAGCCAGACACAATCGACTACATATTCAAGAGCTGCTGCATCCTACTTAGGGTGCTGTGATATATTGATTTGCGTGGGTCGCCTCCAGAGTAATGTGAAATGAAATGTATACGGTCATCCTGTAACTGACAACGTGATCTTACAGCTTGTTATCAAAAATGATTGAAAAACGTGACCGTCTGAAGAAATCTAAAGGGTGGCGTATACACGCTTTTCTTGTGCGCATATACGCATTACATTTTGACGGAGGTACATTTCTGCTGTCAGTGTATGAGTGAGAACAATTACCCCCAACATTCTACAATCTCTCTATAGTGCCCCCATCAATGTAAATTAGAGTTGAAATTGACCACATGTGATTGCAACATTTTAATGAAATGGATTTATAGATGTCTTACTAATTACTATAATTATGGCTGATAACTGAACAAACACTATCAACAGTTTAGACGTCAGAAAAACTGGTCACATATGTCAACATCTGCAGCCCTTTATCAATCCACTGCTGGATGAAGGCCTCCCGGTGCATTGCAGTCATGGTTGTTTGATCATTCTTCACGATGCTAGTCAGTGCGGTTTGATGAAGACAGATTCTCAAGACCGGTTCATAATATCACTCGTCACCGGTGTTAGACATTAGTCCATGGACAAGAGCAGAAATCGGTATCGCATAAAGGTATTCTTTGGTTCTTTCGGTAAAGTCACGTAGATAGAAAAATAATAATCAAATAAAGTTAATAAAAAAAATAAGAAACAACAAAAAAAACACTAATGTAGACTGTAGCCTGGTTCTTAACATTGGTGAGCGTACTGGCAGTCTATGATGTAGACTGTAGCCTGGTTCTTAACCTCGGTGAGTGTACTGGCAGTCTATAATGTAGACTGTAGCCTGGTTTTTAAGCTGGTGGGCATATTGGCAGTCTATGATGTAGACTGTAGCCTGGTTCTTAACATTGGTGAGTGTACTGGCAGTCTATGATGTAGACTGTAGCCTGGTTCTTAACCTCGGTGAGTGTACTGGCAGTCTATAATGTAGACTGTAGCCTGGTTTTTAAGCTGGTGGGCATATTGGCAGTCTATGATGTAGACTGTAGCCTGGTTCTTAACCTCGGTGAGTGTACTGGCAGTCTATAATGTAGACTGTAGCCTGGTTTGTAAGCTGGTGGGCATATTGGCAGTCTATGACGTATAAAAGGTAGCAAAACGTGAGCAGCAACGATTTATATATGTGGCCAATGCGAGTGAATTATTTGATAACCCACGCATTTCAAATGGTTACCGCATAATTCACTGTTGTTGGCCACATATAAAGGAATTGGAACGGCTAAAGTTTACGCCACCTTAGGGCTCAAGGGGCATCGACAAATGATATATCTTGGCTGGTCTGATGGACTACATGGCTGGGAATTGTCAGGTTGATAGCAGTGTGCTAACTACTGTGCCACCACTCTAAATGTAGATGTCAGCATTATATGCATAGCTAACATACATTGCTTGTTTATTTTTTTTTCCATGAAAGTAAAGCATAAACCAAACATCGAGTATCATACGTTATTTCATAGGAGTACGAATGATATACGAGGGAGAGAAGGGGTTGGGATGCAGCAAGGACAGAGACAGATTATATTCAAGAGATGACCCAAAATCTTCCTTGGTGCTCAGCATGTGATTGTCCATACACTAATCTGGCACGTATGCAATGGGTTACAAGGATATGCACATTGTGTGGAGTATTATCGAATTAAATTTTGTTGAAATTGTAGTATGCATTATTATGAGTATGTTGCGTGGTGGAATATGGAATTTTAGTGGATCCAGGTACAGTATCTAGAATTCCTGAAAGTGTAAATACAATCATATGTAGCCAATTAAGTATGGATCAACGCACTTTGCCAAGCTAATTGTCTTCCTCATCCTAAACGATCATGGGAAGGTCACTATAAATAGTGTTAACAATAAAAAAGATTATCAGCTTATATTCAATGGGCAAATTAACTATCTTAAACAACCAAAAGCTATATTGTATTCACTTAAACTTATGAACATGCCATCTTAGGATTTATAACCCCAGGCACAAAAGCTAAAAGCATTCATTACCAACACAATTTAAGGGGGAAATGTGCTATTTTTGACAAACATTGATGAACGGATCATGCACAAGTTTAATAAATAAGTGGCCGTTTTGAGTTGTGGGGTAATTTGTGACAATTTTTTTTATAATTTAAATCAGAACCATGTTTAACCACATGCAAGCAACACCACAATATGTAAATTTCAGTTTATTGATATTTCATGTGATAATGGTCTGCAGATTTGTATTCGGCCGATATATTAACCCCTGCTCAATGTGGTCTTCGTAAGCGCTTAAGCACAATGATCTCATTTGGAGATAATTTTTTTCTGTTTATTTGAAAACACAACTGTGTTGACAGAAACATCCCTGGAAAAAAAACATCCATTTGCAATTAATTTCTCGGAGGACTACGGCACGGCCGTATGTTGCGATCACAAAATCTTGCTTTTCCCAAAAGGGCTTTATCGGTCTATGCTTTGCATTTGCAATTGAAGCAAAGTGCACCAGCCATTTTCAGGATTATCATTCATAGTTGCATGTATTGACCTATTTGACATTGAATACGTAAATAGAAGCCTTTGTAAAATATGCAGCCATCTTTCTATTTATTTTAGAATTAAAAACATATTTTCCATGACCAATGATTAGGCCATATTTCCCAAACATATCCACACGTGACAATATATTTTTTTTTTTACAATTTATGCGGGTACTTTAAGAAAACTGAAACATTTCCATGCTCCACCACAAAACAAACACAAACTGAATGCAAACATTTTTCTTCCAAGTCAATATATACATTCGAAAAACACACGCAATCATCTCGACAAAAAAAATAATGTACATGCGTGAACATTATTTTCCATGGGAAAAATACATTTTGGGCATTGAAATCGTGCCAGTTATAATGATGCTGCTGCTGCATTGGCGGCGAAGATGCAGACAAGATACATTATTTACCTGTGTAGAGGAACATTGAGGCTGGGTTGAGATCAGCGAGCTGGCGGTGGTTGCGGATGTTTGGGTCCTTTACGCACGAGAATTTCCCATCGGTTCGCGCGCCACTCCGCCGAGCGCAGCGAGAGACGAGCGCGACACGACAGCCCCAGCAGGCTTGCAGAAGCAGCAGCAGAAGCAGCAGCAGAGAATCCGACAGCAGACCACTACTACCACAGTCAGCACAAAGTCTGCGACAACAGGGGGTAGGAGAGTGACACGGAGAGATGCTTTTGCCGTCTTCACGCGAGGGGCTTCTCAAACCTCCTTCACTCGGCTCTTGCTGCCGCTGTCCACAGTACCACCAGCGTTCCCGTCGTCGCCGCCGCAGTCTTCAGCATTTCCCAATTTCGTTATCAGCTTTTACCTTCGAGGCGCAAATTGTTTAACCGCATCGGCGTGTCCCCACATGTTGGTGCTTACGCTTGTGCGAGAGCGCGCGTACGCACACACACAAAACTGTGAGAAGTCGGGGGTGGAGATGGAGATGGTAAGAGAGGTTAGTGTAGAGAGAAAGGAATAGGAAGGGGGGTTGGGAAGAGTGTGGGGGGGGGGGGGAATTGCTGCTGTTTTTCTCCCGTCACCACAACAGCTCCGGCAAACCTCGGCGAGTGGAGAAACGGCAGGGCGATCGAGAAGGGGGGGTGGGTGGGTGGGTGAGAGAGCGCAAATCTGCGCAGCGATCACCGCCTCGCCCCCTCTCTCTCTCTCTCGCCTCGCCCTGCCCGCCCCAGATGCGGCGGCGGCCAATGGGGGTGGGGTGGGGGGCCCCGGTGCTTCAGGGTGGGGTGGTGGGGGGCCCCGATGCTTCAGCTCCACGGCCTCGCACGGCGCGGCACAGCGGCCCCCGTGCGGTGGTTGCGCTGCAAGTGTAAAAGGCGTCACGTCTTCAACGGCACAGGGCGCTTTGCAGGATGAATGCAGCGGAGCCACGATGCCGTTGTGTGTTTTTTTTTATATATTCCAAACGCAAGCACGCACGTCGGACACAAGATGCCACCAACCGGGCCACACCCCCCCTCTCTTTCTTCCTCCAACAACTCCACGCGGCCGCATGCTCATTCAGCCAATGGAAAGCTGTAAGAGGCCATGCAACGTTGCAACTAATTATCCCTATCCGGTTGTGTTTGATAGGAGATCCTGCCCGTGATTAGGATTACATGCACAATCGATGATCGATACCGCTTCTGTCGAGATATGTTTCCAAATTAATACTTGTCTAGTCCCAGAACTGTACACTAAATTATGTTGTGAAGACCACGCGTGGATGCAGATTTACTGTTCTTTCAGGATGGCAATGGGCTTCATGAGTAGCACAACGTTTAATCATCCTAAATGTCTTATAATAACACAGCTCACACCAATTACATTTTGATTTCAGGCAAAATGGCTTCATGTGTTTGGAATATTGTAATACAGTGTAAAGCATTGGGCTTAAGCGTTGAAAGGTTTAAAAAGAAAATATAATTTCTCGCCAATACAAATTTTATGGAGGTTTTAGTACAATAGCGTATATTTTGTAGATACTTTACAATCAGTGAGCAAAGAAATGAGGCTCTCCATGAGTCAATCAAATTCACATGCAATTTGCTACATTACAGCTTTTAAAATAAATACACTTTCAGTATGCAAACACTGCCCTCTAGGTTACCATGGAAGACAATATCTAAATTAAACCCTTTATCGCACATAAAGCATCTGCAACCTATTTAACATGTGAATAAAAATGCTTTTGAATATTTCCACATTTCGGGCCACATATTGGCCATATCTGAATTAGATACATTGAAGGAAATATAAGTGCACTGCAGTTAGCATGAAGAACTTGGCGTGCATTTGCAACGGAGCCATGAATGGCTACATTATTCAACAAATTACTAAAGTAATTAGTTTTGTGCATCGCTGAATAAACATTCTTTGCTGGACAACCAGTAAGCATGACAACCCCATCATCCTCAGGAGCTCAACGCCCACACACACACAGAATAACTCTGGTGTCTGGCTAAGATAAGGGAAAGCCAATCTAGTTTTCTGTGGGGTTTCAGCCTGGAAATCTGTATCCAGTCTGCTCTGTGGTACCTTTGTTGCAGTCATTAAAGGAACAATTTATGCTGCACACTTTGCGGGTTTAGAATAGTTGTTGGGAAAAAACACAAAATGAATGTCACTTAAATGCATACACGGGAAATTGGTTTCACAATTCTATATATTTTCCATTCCTCGCCAAAGATATTCCCTCTAATGATAAAAGCATTCTAAACTTTTACGTGGAAATGCATTTCAATCTACACACATATATATATGTATAAGGCATATCATCACATTCGAATCTTCCAAAATATGTAACAAACACGCTCTAAGTCAATATAGTACCACTTGTTAAAGATAAGGACAAATACATTTACATCATGAGGCCTCCTTTGCCAGTACCAAAATATACTAATAGGGTTTTTCCCCTTTTTTCTGGCACCAAAACTGACACCTTTTACAAAGAATCATGTTTACATTAACCACAATACTTGCAGTCAAAATGTAAACAAAAAAACAATACTCTGCTAATTTATGCATTGTTCTTGAAACTCATTGACTGCAAGTATTGTGGTTAATGGAAACATGATTCCTTGTCAAAAGGTGTCCGTTTTGTTGCCAGAAAAAAGGGGAAAACCCCTATTAGTATATTTTGGTACCTGCAAAGGAGGCCTCATGATGTAGATGCTTACCCCGAGCTCTCATTGCTCGGATGGTGCGTTGTCTTTGAACTGTGCGCCTTTTGGTGTCATCTGGTCGAACACCATATGAGTCTAGCTGTCTCTGGTGTGGATCAATGCGTTTCAAGAACAATGCATAAATTATCAGAGTATTGCTTTTTGTTTACATTTTGACTGCAAGTATTGTGGTTAATGTAAACATAATTCCTTGTAAAAAGGTGTCAGTTTTGTTGCCAGAAAAAAGGGGAAACCCCTATTAGGACAAATAAACTATTTAGTAGAATAATGCGTCTACACAATTATTAAATGGTTGTTCTCATATGTAACAATTTGTGCAGCCGACATACTTATTACTGGCTAGAAAAGAGGAGAAATAAGATTACTCAAAACATACATTGCATCAAACATGACCAATTAACGTCACGGCTGATATAAAAATACAATCTTTGGTAAGCATTTGGAATGCATTGCACAAAATAATTAAGGGAGTGTGTTGTCAGTGCCACACAAGAACACTTTTAAAAAAAACTCACCTCTGTTCTTTATCTGTTGTACTTTATCTGTTGAATATTCATAATGTAATTAAGTCAGAAAGATCTGTTTGAAAAGATAATTTTTGGTTGTCATTGGTTATTCCATACCAACATTGTTGTGTAACATTTTTAGTAAGGCCCAGTATCGTAATGAAGCAAATATGGACCATAAAACAGCATGACACATTGTGACATCTTTCAACATATATTGAGTAGTAAAGTCAAAGCTGGCGAATGTGCAGCTCTGGATTTGCCTCCTGACGTCACTTAGAGGGAAGCTCTCTATAGAGCCCTCTAGATGGTATTTGGCCTACTTTTCCACAGACGCCTTGGAAGAGGAGGGAGTACCCACACTTTACCCCACCACACACGATCTGACGATTGACTAATTCACTCTACATTTTATATATTCAGAATACGTTTAATGTTAAGATGCACGTATTACAAAGCTCTACAGTCATTCAAAACCCTGACAACTATTTATATACTGTATATATTGCATCCACCACAGTCGGAATAACCAAAACATATGAATATTCTATATGCATCTACTGAAAGTAAAAGAAACAACATCAGAACATAAACCCTAATAAAATGTACATAAACATTTTTTTTCATTTCACAACATTTTTTCACGCTTACAACATGCATACGTCACCCTGCATGTGGCCAAATGTAATTGTGTCCCGTGAGGGCTTGCTATATGATGCCATCTTGCCATCGTTGTATAACCGTTTTTTTGCGCAGTGGTTTCTAGAATTCTAAAAGTGTACTCAACGCACTGGAACAAACTTGTGCCTGAGGGTAGTGACGTGAATCATGGGGGGGGGGGGGGGCGCTAACGTTTATGTGAGCTGAGCCAGCGTCTCTCAAATGCACAGTTCAAGTCCAGGGAATGTTTTTTTAAGTATTGCTGAGCAATGGAGAGAATAATTTTTTTAAATATAAAATTGGTCCAATATGTGAACTTTCTACAGCCTCACGCAGCTCAGAGAATGAAGTTAAAACTGTATAAGACAGCAGACTATCTCCTTGCACACAAAGTGCCTACCAGGGATAGGTAATGGAAATCTACTGAATATACATCAAGCGGGATCCAGCTGTGTTTTCCTGGAGTCCTTCTGTGCTCGGAATTGTTGCTGTGATGGCAATGTGGAATGAAAGAGAGGCCTGATCTGTAATGGATTCTTGTTTCAAGATTAGAACATTACAGGGGAGAAAAAAAACTATAGCTTATGATGAGAGTTGTAATTTTGTGAAATTGAAATTTAATAAATATACGTATGCTATAATGTATTGCACTGTACATCAATATATATTTTTTAAACGGCAACACTCTTTTTTAAACAGGTGAAACAATATTTACATTAATCAATCACTGTAATACCATCTTAAGCATCATGGTTATCAATATGATTGCAGAGGTTTTCTAAAATACAATTGTTAAAGTCTACTTAATATGCCAGATTACATTAAAAATATATCTTTTAATGGGTGTAACAGTGGTGTAATTAATAATTCTGTTTTTATGTAAAAGTGCTATTTCAATAAATCAATCTTTATTGGATGTGCCAATATCGGCCTCATTAAAGTAGGATTCAGTGCACATTATTTCAAACCATTAATACTGTCTTTTCCCAATTTTATTTCAAATGTGCTTTCAACAACATGATACAAATTATCCATTTGATGAAGTAGATATCACACAACTATTTCTGAGATCCCTACAAATTATATATTTTTTTATCCAAGCATATGTTTAATTTCTTTCACACCGTACGTAGCCAACCGTACTAATCAGAGGTCCAGGGGAAGGACAACAAACTAAACACAAAAAGCAATTCTAAAGAAATTAGTTTTCAATTTAGATTTAAAAGTGCATAGCTCCGGTGGCTTCCTAATATTAGAAGGAAGAACGTTCCAGACGGCCGCAGAAGCGTATCAGAAAGTGTGTGAAGTAGTGACCGTCTTTGCTAGGTAGTTATCCAAAAGCCGCTGCGAGGATGACCAGAGTTTGTGACGGTTTATGCCCATTGACGATATCATCAAGGAATTGCGGCTAATTTGTGGCAAGCACTTTGTGTGTAATTAGTGCAACCTTATAATGCATACGGCAACCGGAAGCCGATGCAGCTCAGCGAGCACAGATTCCTCTCCAGACGCAAGCGGTGTACTATCCCACACATCCTTGTGGAGACGGACACGTGTCACAAGGCAGTCTGATGTGATCATTTATTGTCATTCTCAGAGCTGGAATTTTCGGCAAATTAAGTTAAACATATTTTAGCCATGACTTAGA